TTGAGATGAGGGAAGAAGATATCGATATTGAATTCAACTTTATTGATGGCAAAGACCTGTGCGATTTGGAAGCTGAAGACGACGAAACCGAGTTCGAGATCGTGTCCTTGGTAGATGAGCACGACGGCTCTGCCTGCGATGTTATCATGCCTCTTGCAGCTTAGATACCCAGATCTCTCCTTATAATTGGAATAGAAGAAGCTCTTCATAACATGCAAGTACCCGGCGATAGGGCGTTTGTGGGCTTAGTTAAAGCCTGAAGAGAACAGTTATGTGCTATCACTGATTAGGAATATAAACCTCATGAAAAGATATTGCTGAAAGCAGCTCTATAACCTCCTGAAATGCTGTCCTTTGCTTATGGTCTCATTTCTCACTCACTTGCTACTTGAAGTCATAAATGGATGTCTTCATTTCATCGTCAGTTCAGGCAATTTAGACAGTGGTATAGCTGCAGAGAAAGACCAGGAAGTTGGCGTATGAGGGCGACTGTAAACCTATATATCACAAACATATCTGTCATAGAACAACAGTCAATATATTCATTGAAATCAGTTATTAGTAGTTAGATATCAGTTTTTCCTTCCTTTGTTTAGTTATTGCATGCTTTTAGCGGGCTTAGTAGCCTCGTTATGTTCAGCTTGCAGTGTAATTGGATCATTCAACTCAAAGTCTGGGTTCCAAATCTGCTTTGCAACATCATCACCAGAACCATCTTTCGAGCTTTTGGCACCAATATGCTGGAAGACACTTGGGGTTAAAGCCCACCTAATCTCGTTATTTATGTTGGCATATTCCTCCAAAAGGGAGTCCGCAAACCCAATCTTCTTCTTCTCGTACCAGGAGACAACATCCGGGACACGGTTATGCGGGAACACAAGGGCCTGAGAACAGCATCCAAAACGCGGCATTTGATGGACCCCTGAGGGAATCGGTAGCATTGACAAACGGCCCGAGGCAAAGAAGAGCACGATGCAGAGAGGCCCGTATATAAAGCAGATGACCAAGACGGCTTTATTTGTGAGTAGGCTGTTTGAGCGAGGGACATACCGCCGAGTGGTAACAAGGGTACCCCAAAGGGCTGCGATCACAGCCACGGAGCAGAGGAGATATATAAACCATTCTTCGCTATTCCAGCCTAGAAGGCCCTGGGTATAGAACAGCCGAAGGTATAAATCTAATCTCAATGAATCAGATAGAGAATTTTAATAAAGAAAGGGGGAGACAACTTACATTGTGACGCTCCCAGCCGGCTGGTCTGTTGGTCAGCATCTATCAGAGCTCGCTTTGTACGATGGTACCAGCCATCCATTGCGAGGACATCATCTTCCACCATTATGGTATGTGGAGCCCCAATTTCTTGACACGCCTTGAGCAGATAGACGTAATCGAACAAGCCTTTCTCCCTAAATAACCCCCCTTCCCTTTCCAGTTCTCTGAGGTGATCGAGCTCTGCCGTAGTAACGTTATAGAGCAGGACTCTGTCTGCCATGGCCGATAGCCATTTACTTTCGAAGGATGGATGGATCGTCGGGTCTACGTGGGGTATAAATATGATCAAGTAGAGATCTTCACGCTCCCGCGGACCGAGATCCATGAGCAAGGATCCAACCGTTGCTTCAATGTAGCTCACATCCTTGCGAGCGATGGAGGCAATGCCCACGCAGAGACTTGCGTTTCTGTTCCCCGGCGGCGGTTTGAGAGCTGTGGTGGCATTGGTGGTGACATTGGTGGTGGAGCTGGCCACCGCATCGATGTATCGGATAAAGTTAGCGCCCTTTGAGGCTCTAAACCCGGAGTATATCGACTTGTATCCCTCCCGCGCGTCGAAGAAGGCAGAGGTTGGGTCGCGATGGCTACGGATTCGACAGTACTGGACCAGGAGGATGTAGCAGACGAGGGAGGCAAGGATGCAGCGAGATGCAGTCCGAGAGAACAAAGAACCGTTCGTTGGCGGCGAGCTGAGAATCCGCATCGTCTGTGTCAACTAAGTAACGAGCTGGCTTGCACATTGATGAGCTGGTGAGTAACTACTACGCTGCAGTCTCTGTGTAGCATTGCCGGATGCCTGCGGAATAGGAATAATAAGAATGATAACGGGAAGAGCCTGAGGCTGAAAAGGTCCATGGCTGGGAAAAATCTCTGCCTGGTACCAAAAGGGTCAATCAATGACCTCAGAAAGGCTAACTAACGGGATCCGGAACCAGTTAGTTAACTAGTCAGACGGCATTGATTGGGTTCCAGCCTATAAAAGCGCCATTCCGGGTAAGTTAATACCTATCCCAAGCTAACTAACTACTCTGTATAAGCTAACTACCGTGGAGGACTAGCTAAAGGTAGCAAGTCTAGAGTGTTCCAATCCGTGTCCCAGAGGCTGCGGCTGATCGCTGGCCATCGACTTCTATCGACTTCTATGCATCAACGGCGTTAGTGGAGAAAACAGGCAAGGAAGAAACAGCCCCTCATAGAGACGGATTGGGGCCGCGTGGCCTAATGGTTAGGGCGCTGGTTTTCGGTTTTGTCTTTATTTAGGCGAAAGTCTGTCCACCAGAGACTGTGTGTTCAAATCACACCGTGGTCGTTTCTCTTCTTCTTCATTTTTTTTTTTTCCTTCTTTAAATCAAGGCAAGAGTTAGGCATTAATAACAGATGTTGATAATAATAGATGCCAGATGAAAGGGAAAAGACGAAAGGGAAAAAGAGGCTTCTGTCGAGCAGTTCTGGCAGTGCTGTGTTGGTCTTACTCTTTCCAGCCTAGCGTGGTTCTTATTAGTTATAGTTAGCCCTGCACCGCCATGTTTACCGCCGCCTGATCTACATCTTCAACTACTTACATGAAGCACTTGATAAAGACTTGGATGCCAGTCACTCGCTCTTGTCACTCTCTCGTTGCTACGACATCTCCTGATAACTAGTTAACTGATGAGACCATTTTGGTTCCTTGGTTGGCATTTTAACTAGTTAACTAATTATAAGGCGCCTGTGTCTCGGCGTACGGAACGAAGCGCCTAATAGCTGAGCCAAACTCACCTCGAGCAAGGAAGATAACAATATATCAATATCTGCCTTCTAAGAGGATAGACCCGGTGACGGAGGCTATGTCCCATATCCGTCACTGTCCAGAATTCCAGCTCGCTCGCTCGGATTCAAAAAACCCAGCAACGACCTGCCAAGGGCTGACTGCCGATGGCCGCAGGTGCCGACGAACAGTGATACCTACTGCGTCGAGCAAGCAAGATGACTTTCAACGAGGAAGAGGCGGTGGTGGTAGAGGAGACCACATCACGATAGAGACACCAGGCGACTTGTTTTGCTGGCAACACAAGACTCAAGGTGAAGCAGCATCGTCACTTTCGAGGCAGAGACCAGCCAGGGTACTGAGACCACGATCCAGTCTGGATACGCTCATCGAACGGGTGGGCATGCTGTCTGTGGATGAAGTGCACTCTGTACGCGGTAGTGCTGGCATTCTGGGGGTCAATGCTGATCGAAATGGAGCGTCTGGCCGCCGCTCGGCAGATGCCTCATATAGAAGGGCAGAGCAGGTGGCTGGTATAGCTACGCTTCATGTTCCAAAGGCCCCAAAGAAGAAGTCAAAGCAGCGCATGAAGTTTGTCTGTTTCTTTGCTCCCCTTGACAGTGATGATGAGCATCATCCTGTCCCCAGAAGAAGCTCGCATGTCCGGCCTGCGCCGAACCTGGGTGATCCCGTTCCGCAACCTCTGCCGAACAGTAGTGGGCGTCGACATGCTAGACTTGATCATGAACGGGACTCCCACCGTCATAATAGATCTAGCTGGGAAGAATACACACCGCCTAGGAGGAAGCAACTTCCGCCCACTGTCGAGGAGCCTTCACCATCCAACAATCAACCACTTCGCCATTCACTTTCTGCCAGACGCGGCCCATCACAGACAGAATACCTTCTCTCCTGGATCCCATCAAGTCTATCGCCCGACACAACATCAAAACTACTCCAACGACTCGCAGAGCCTCTATCACCCGCCGATGAAGCGGGATATATCTATATATACTGCGTGACACCTAGAGACTCCCAGCCCCAAGCAGACGAAATTGCTTCTTTAATACCGTCGTCTCCAGATAGACATGAAGTCAGAAGGAGACGGACAAGCGATATCATGTCCTCTGCCGGCATTGCTCCTACATCCCGCATCACAAGACACGACCCAGCCGGCAGACGAACTGCAACCACCATAACTCTGAAGATAGGCCGTGCAGTCAACGTCTGTCGTCGACTGACCCAGCAATGCTCTCATAACCTTACGCTGATCCGATACTACCCTTACCATCCTTCATCTGGGGCAGCGTCGTTGCATCTTCCGCAGAAAGCGCCAAACGTGCATAGACTGGAGCGATTGGTGCATCTTGAACTGGCTGATATCCGAGTCAAACCTGGCCAGCCGTGTGAGGAGTGTGGGAGGAAACACCAGGAGTATTTCGAGATTGAGGCAAGTAGAGAGCAGCTCAGGAGGGTGGACGAGTGCGTTAGGAGATGGGTTGAATATAGCCAGCTCAACCCAACAAGCTGATACATCATGTTTATCTCTTTACTATATAAATAGTTATATTACATATGAGAAGCAGATGTTGATAAATAATGGTTACATTTTGTAGAAGAAAATGTCGCCTCGCGAATAGGACAATGTGAATAGCAACATAATTAATAGAGAGCTCGAGTAAATTCAATTATTCAAGAGGTACCTAAACTGTGGCAAAAGGTGCTAACAGGTACCTGCTATCTAACTAGTTAACCGGTTAGTTCGTGTTATTCGCAGATCCGGCTATGACGTCGGCGGTGGCTCAGCCGTAAATATTGATAAAGCAAGCACTCCTTGCTCAAGGACATCATCCATCAACCATCCATGCCCTTCCTTACTTACGTTCAAAGTCTTCGCAATCTCCTGCATGATATCACTTTGCAGCCCTGAAACGCACGCCAGGCAGACATAAACCAACTAGTTAACCAGTGAACTATCACAATGGGTCCTCCCCAGAGCACCGCCTCGCGTCCAAAATCCTACCTATCCTCAATCATCAGGTCAATAATCAACATCATCAAAGCTCTCATCATAAACGCCTACACAGCCATCCATGCATCCCTCGATGCAGTCCTTCCTCCTCCAAAACGAGCAGAAATAAGATCCCAGCTCGCATCCTTTGCTAGGGAGCGTCCTATCCTCGCCTCCTTCTTAGCCTCCCAGCTTCTATTCTGCGGAGTCCCACTCGTCCTGTTCGTCGTGCAGGTCGTCAGCGTGCTGGTATTCGCATTCTCCACTGCGCTGGTGCTTGCCTCGCTTTGCGCGCTTACATTCACGGCCGTGTGCACTGGTCTGGCGCTGCTTGTGCTTGTGCCTGTGCTGGCTGTTACGGCTTTCGTGGGTGTGTCGGTTTGGTTCTGGGGATGGGTCGGCTGGTGGGCCTTGGTGTCGTTTGGTATTGTGCAGACGGAGCCTTCGACAGGGAGGGTGAGGAGTGAAGGGGCTGTTCTTGCTGGGTCTCAGGGACAGGCCAGGGTTGATGGATTCAATGGCGTCAAGGCTCCCAGAGATGGGGTGCCGCTCGGGATACCTACTTCCTAGGCGGCCCATAACTACGTGTGCCGTTGACGAGCGAATACAGCAGCATTTGGATGGTTTGGAGAAGATATTGTTTCGATGGACGGCCAATTCGTCTCAGATATTCCTCTTTATGCCAGCTTCGGTTTTAACTATTCAAAAATATGTGATTTCTAGCTATCAACCTTTCAGATGCAGGCAGTGGTAATAATATTATATCTCTGGTGGAATACAACGTCGAAAGGATATAGCAGGATGTTGATATAACATTGTCTGCCACTGCCCTTCGTTTTTCGGACTCTTAGTGGTAGTAGTATTTTATTACTTTTGCCATAGTTTATCCCCCCTGTTTCTTAATATGCCGGCTTCAAATGCATATCCCCACATTTGATAACAGGTTCAGCCTCTGTACTTAGCCTTCTTAGGAGTGTAATGTTCAATTGAACCGAGGCTTCGCTCTTTGCAATATCACACAAGAACGGAGCAAGAATTGATACGGATGGGGTGTATATGCATTAGCGAAGAGAGAAGCTTTAGCCACACGAAACCATATCCTAGCTCAGGCTTTGGTTAAGCACGGTTAAAGTCTTCTCACGAAGCTCGCCAAGTTCAATCTCTAACGCTTCGTTGCGATCCAGCGTCTCCTGGAGACAGTCAGCAAGCTTTACTGACAGCTCGTCTCCCCGACTCTTCTCCGAGAGCATGTTGATGGTCTCCTTCCAGTTCTCCAGATATATCGAGGACTGGCCATGAAGAGCATTGATCATAGTGTCCTTAAGCTGCAGCTTAGCGCGACACTCGAGTAACTCGTTCTTAAATTTCTTTTTCTTGCTTGCCCATTCACCCAGCGCAGTCGCGAGACGGTCATTGAGCTGAGTTTCCTTGTCCCGCGCCTGTAATAGAGACTTTTGGTAGTATGTGAGCGAGCGGCTGGCTTCCTCTAGCTTGTTCATATATTTGGAGTTAAATGTCTCCAAGTCGTCGAGCTGTTCCTCCAGCTTGGTATTAGATGCCTGTAGATTCTCGATCTTCGCATCTCGTTCGGCTAGCTGGGCCTGCAGCTTGTCAAGCTCTTCTTGCTGGGCCTCGGTCTTACTCTTTAGCTCTTGGTTGACCTCCAAGGCCTGCTTGAAGTCATGATGCATAGAGAATTCAGTAAGCTTCTTAGATGGCTGTCGGATTTTCATGACGACTTTGCGAAGGATAGCCAACTCCTTTGCAGTCTTCATGTTCTCCTCCTTGGCCTTGTCGATGTATGTCTTAGTAACTTCGCATGCCTGGGTAAGCTGCGCGACCGTACCTAGGCAGTTGGATTTGATTTCCGACATTTCTTTGTATTGCTTGTCGATGATATCCTGGATAAGCCCCATCTCACGCTGGAGCATCTTATTGATCGCATCCATGCGGGAGTTATCCTCCGTCAGGGAAGAGGCGCGCGAGCGTTGTTTCTCTCTTCCTTTGATTGCAGTCACGAATTTGGTCTGCCAGAACATCTTTTCGGTGAGCAGCTGGTTTCGCTCATTGGCAAGATATCTGATCTCATCGTCGAATTCATCTTGGAGTGCAGCAAGGTCATTACGCCTAGTTACCTCTGCATTCTCCAGAAGGAAATCTACTTCCCGGGATGGTATCATCTCCTCCTCTTCCTCTTGTACTTCGTTGCCACCATCTTCTTTTTTGCCACCTTCGTCGGCTTCTTTATCGCTGTACCCTTCGTCATCAACGGAGTCCTCTCTGGGGATTTCCTTGAATTCCGAGCTAGCACCTGTATCAGTTGCATAATCCAGGTCCTCCTCCAGGTCTTCCTCCACAGGAACTTTTTCGTTCGAGCCAACTTCTACCTCTGCGGCATTTCCAATCTCTCCGGTTTCTTCAGGTACCTGGTCATCTTCTGGCTCTCCCTGTGATTCCGGTTCAGACGGTCCAAAGACATCATCTCCATCTACGTCGGCAGACGGAGAGGGGCTACCAGATGATCCTTGAACGTCCTGTTTAGTACATCTTTCTTCGCTAGGAGTAGTTGAACAGGCCCTGTCTGGAGGCGAGAAAGGAGAGACCATGGTGCTATTACCGATATCCACACTTGAGCTAGCAGTGGAAATGGCAGGGGTAGAAGGGACTCCCTCTACGCAAGGGCTTTCTTCGGAGGTCTCAATCTCTCCCTTACTACAAGTGGACATATCCCTGGGTGATGGTTCCTGATCCTGCCATTCTCCGTCAGAATGGTAACATCCACGCTATAAAAACAAACTTACCTCGCATATAGAGTCGGCTGCGCCCATCTTAGTAGAGTCTGGCGGAGAAAGCTTCGACTTCATACGGCTGACAAGGGACCGAACAGTAGAAGTGGGAGCGTGGCGCGGAGAGGATGCCCAGTGGTGCCACTATCACAGTTAAAACTCTGACTGGGACCGTTTATATAGCAGATGGGCTAACGGCATACCTTGTCACGGTGGCGGCCTTTAGTAGCCATGTTGGGAGTTACTGGGTTAAGTGACCCCATTGGAAAACAATAAGTCTCTCGTGAATTCCTCTGAGATGTCTTAAATATAGGTATCTTGGTATATGAAAGTGAAGAGGAAAAAAAAAGAGTTGATATGTTTTAGGAGTGTGGATCAAACTTCTCACTCTAGAATTGCGGATATAATGACGAAGTTTGTGGGAAGGTGTCTGAGTTTGCTTAGGAAGAAGTAGGTCACTGTGTATACGCTAGAGTAATAGAGAAGGAAGTGGTGGATGTGGCAGCCTGAATCATGCCCTTAAGTATTCATTCCAGACATGGTGCCAGGCTGGAGCTCTCCATGAAGATAAATGCCCATCTCGAGCAGCATTCTGTTCTGATTCACTTTTAAGTGGTTCTGGTGGAATAAATACCTTTGTTGCAAGGTATAGAAAGGAATATCAAACAACGGATGGTGTCAGGAAGTTAGGTGACCAGCTGAACAATCTCCAAATTGCATTGTTTGATGCCCTCTCTGGTCTCTTTGGGTATAAAGAAATAGCCAAAAAATATGGTCATGAGGCTATTAAAGCTTGTAAAGCATGCATAATGCCCTTGTCACTTCAACCGCCTCATACCAATGCATCATAGAAGCATTATCAGGGTCTATATTGCGCAGGAGTATAGCGCAGTAGGAGTTCCTTAACTCAGCCATCCTGATCCTGTGTTGGAGATACACACCGAGGCTTGCAGTTATTTTTTGTAGCAGAGTAACTAGATGGCAGGCAGAGCCACATCTATCGATCTCTAGGCCACCAAAACGGCAAACGGCTGCTAAGACAGCACAGTCAATAGTTGTAAGATGAAGAAGATGAAGAAGATAAAAAAAAAAAACCCAAAGGAGGTCGCGTGTAGTCTTTCTTAGTCAGCAACTCCGTGATGCGACCAGAGTGTCCTCAAAGCGCTAGTAAGTTCTTTTTGTCCACAAAAACATCCAAGAAGACGAGAACTTCGACCTTTTGCTGCTTCAACCACCTTGTCGTCTCTCCCTCCCCTCCCCCTTCTTCCCCCTTTCTCTCCCGATCTCTTGTCTGGGTTTTGTTTATAAACCTCTTTGGTTCTCTCTTCTTCCTCTTTTGTTCAGTCCGGGGGAAACAAAGACATCCGCCACCATGAGCGGCCGTAAGTCCATCTCCACCGCCAGACCTCCATTGCGACAGCAGCAGCTGTGTATACGCCTGGGAACTGCCTGCTGACCGATGTAGTACGCTTCCTCGATCTGATCAAACCCTTCATGCCCCTCCTCCCGGAGGTGGCTGCCCCCGAGACCAAGGTCCCGTTCAACCAGAAGGCTATGTGGACAGGAGTACGTGAGCCGTCGTCGGACCGCGTGAGAGGATTGCAACTGGACTGTGGCTGATGGTTGAGATCTAACAGTTGACCCTGCTCATATTCTTGGTCATGAGCCAAATGCCTCTGTACGGAATCGTATCTTCCGATACTTCGGACCCCCTATACTGGCTGCGTATGATGTTGGCCTCTAACAGAGGAACTCTCATGGAATTGGGTATCACCCCAATTATTTCCTCCGGCATGGTCTTCCAGGTAATACATATTACTCTTTCTATCGTTGCAGTATGGTTATTTCGATTTCTAATGCACTTTCTAGCTTCTTGCTGGAACCCAACTCATCGACGTTAACCTCGACCTCAAAACCGATCGCGAACTGTATCAGACCGCCCAGAAGCTCTTCGCTATCATCTTGTCTTTCGGTCAAGCCTGCGTTTACGTCCTTACTGGCCTTTATGGTCAACCCAGTGACTTGGGAGCCGGTGTCTGTGTCCTGCTCATCGTCCAACTTGTTGTTGCCGGACTCGTCGTCATTCTCCTGGATGAGCTCTTGCAGAAGGGTTATGGTCTTGGAAGCGGTATCTCGCTCTTCATCGCTACTAACATCTGCGAGTCTATCATCTGGAAGGCCTTCTCTCCCACTACTATCAACACTGGCCGTGGACCTGAGTTTGAAGGCGCTGTCATTGCTCTCTTCCACCTCTTGCTCACCTGGCCCGATAAGCAGCGCGCTTTGTACGAGGCATTCTACCGCCAGAACCTCCCCAACATCATGAATCTCATTGCTACTCTCGTCGTTTTCGCCGCTGTTATCTACCTCCAAGGTTTCCGTGTTGAGATTCCCGTCAAGTCCTCCCGCCAACGTGGTGTTCGTGGATCCTACCCCGTTCGACTCTTCTACACCTCCAACATGCCAATCATGCTCCAGTCCGCCCTCTGCTCCAACGTCTTCTTGGTCAGCCAGATGCTGTACTCCCGCTTTTCCGACAACATTCTTGTCAAGCTTCTCGGTGTTTGGGAGCCTCGCGAGGGTGGCTCTGCTCAACTTTACGCTTCTTCCGGTATCGCATATTATATGTCTCCACCATTCAACTTTAAGGAAGCTCTCTTGGATCCCGTTCACACCGTCTGCTACCTCATCTTCATGCTAGTCGCCTGTGCCCTCTTCTCTAAGACCTGGATTGAGGTCTCCGGCTCTGCTCCACGGGATGTTGCCAAGCAGCTCAAGGATCAGGGATTGGTTATGGCTGGACACCGTGAACAGAGCATGTACAAGGAACTCAAGAGAATCATTCCTACCGCTGCCGCTTTTGGTGGTGCCTGTATCGGCGCCTTGTCCGTGGCCAGTGACCTCATGGGAGCTCTAGGAAGTGGAACCGGTATCCTTCTCGCAGTAACGTAAGTCATATTCTCGTCTAACAAAGTTTTTGATGCCCCTTTACTAACTGTCGATAGAATTATCTATGGCTACTTCGAAATTGCCGCTCGGGAAGATGACTTCGGTGCTGGTCTCAAAGGCCTAGTCCCTGGCAACTAAAAGTCCAGGTGCAATATTTTCTTTAACGGGTCAGCAAGCTCTGAATACCGTTATACAAATATTTTCCATTATTATTCTTAAATATTTTGATTTGTATTATCAGCAATGTCAAGTGGTCTTTCTATATGTTTCTTGGGAAGGGAAGATGACTAGGCGCGAATTGTCATTTACAGGCAAAAATAAAATCCAAAGGAACCATGAGGCGTGGGTTGAGATTCGATAATTTACAAGCCAATCCTTGTTTCTCGTCGTTCATTTTGTTTTGTTTTTTTTTACATGCACATTTGAGTCTTCCCCCTTCATACCAAAAATCGGGTACTTCGACAAAATGGCCCTTAGTAGGTTCTCTAATCTGTATATAATAGCTGCCCGTTGATACTTCGTTCTCAATAATGACCATCCACACCATCTTGTTGCTTGTTGTAGGTAATCTTCGAGTAAGTATTCAACCAATCGTGTATAGCTAAGCTTATAGCACCAAAATCATGTTCTGTAGTCTCCATTGATAGTCACATATTCATGGCTGAAATCACAGAACCAATAAACAGCCTCTTCACCACCCTTGCCTGCCTCTCCACTAGCTCCACCACCTAGATCCACTACGATCTCAAGATCCTCATGTTGCAAAATAGTAGAGGCTCGCTCCTCGTCCACAGACTCTGGCTCCCCGTTTACTAGAAGTTTGAGTTCGGGACTTCCGTCAGCAGGTTTGAAGCTCACGCTCGTTTTCACAGGCACAACGGTTCCAGGGGCCAGGTCTGGTGTATATCCAACCGCACAGAGGATACGACCCCAGTTAGCGTCTTTGCCATACAACGCAGTCTTCACTAGCGGAGAACGGGCAATGGTGGAAGCAATGCGTTTGGCATCTTCATAAGAAGGCGAGTTTTTAACGCGAACAGTGACGAATTTAGTGGCTCCTTCACCATCACGAACAACTAATTGGGCCAAGGATTGCGTGAAGCCTGTTAAAATAGACTGCATGGCGGTATAGTCCTTTGAATCAATTGAGGATATAGGAGTTCCTCCTGCAGCTCCATTGGCAAGTATAGCTACGGTATCGTTGGTGCTGGTGTCACCATCAACGGATATAGAGTTAAACGATCGCGATATAGAGTGAGAAAGAAGCGATTGTAAAATCGGAGCTTCAATGGGCGCATCGGTGCAGATGATACCGAGTAGAGTTGCCATGTTTGGGTGAATCATACCAGCCCCTTTGGTCATTCCTGCAATATTATAGGTACGGCCAGGAGAAGAGGGTAAGGTAAAACTTTGGGAGGTGAGCTTTGGGAATGTATCAGTGGTGCAGATAGCTCGAGCTGTGCGTAACCATGCAGCGTGAGTCGATGACAGGTTCGATTGCGCTTCAGGAACCTTATTGAGAATCCTATCAATCGGTAACCTAAGCCAGGAGAATCAGTGCCCGTTACGTTTTGGAGAACATTAATTTACCGCATTTCTTACAATTGGCCAATAACACCAGTGCTCATGACAAGTGTACTTGAATCGCCCTCTGGAAGCCCATTGCATTCGTCCGCCTTCCGGCTCATGCTCCTGGCATCCTGTAGTCCCTGTTTCCCGGTAACTGCATTGGCGCAGCCAGCGTTAACAATAACGCCGCGAATGTTATTCCCTTTCTTCTTTCGGATCAATTCTGAGCTCACTTGAACCGGAGCAGCTTGAAATTTGTTCGTAGTAAAGACGGCAGCGGCGGAGCATGGGGTCTCGGACCATATCAACGCGAGGTCAGGAGCGGATGTATTCGACGCTTTCACCCCAGCATGGCTCCCGGAGACCTTAAAACCTTTTGGATATGTTCCTGAAGACGGTACAAACTTTTGCTTCGACGCCGGGATCGAGGTATCTATTGGTGTTGTGAATTGACGAACCTGGCCCGACACCGGAGTCCCAGGCTTCGAGAAGCGGCAGGCATAGTGAGATACCTGGCCAATGGCTCTAGCATGGTTCAGGGCCATCTCGGTTGTGGCAGCTATTTGCTGTGAGTATCCAATTGACCGAAGTTCGGATAATCTCAGGGAACAGAAATATCGGGAGAGAGTGACTCAAGCTTGGGAGCTCCTACGGTCGCTCCAAATTATAGTTCGACAGCGCTTCTAAGCTCGCTGATAAGCGCCAGTCACGTGGTTTCGCGTTTCTTTGCGCCTCGGAGCTTTCAGGGCGAACCAAAATATATCTGACGCCAGGAGGAGCAAGAAAGGCTCTAGTTTGCGCGCGACACTGAACAGTCAAGATGAAGCGCAAGCAACAGGAGATATCCTCAGATGAAGATCCTCTACAATCAGAACTATCAAATACTCCAAAGAGATCCAAACAAACGTCCCGAAAAGATAATGAGTTGAACGGAACTCCGACGAAACACTCCGCTCCTGACACACCTTCAGGCCGACTGAGGTCTCGATTGACCAAACAAACACCAACCAAGAATGTAGATTTTGCTCCTGATTTAGTGTCTCCCCTCAAGACACCGACAGCGAGGGCATTGTTCAAGACACCCACCAAGCTAAAGAATGTTGACAACGGAACGCCGAATGGAACGCCATCGCGGATACGGAATGCTGACAGGTCAGCAAAGAGGAAAAGTGCAAGGGTGCTGCTTGATCCCAATGAAGATGATTTATGGGATGGCAGCAATAAGCTGGCGCGAGAAATCTGGGATGTACCGTCTGACGACAATGCGGTGCCCCAAGTTGATACCGTTGCAATGGGGGGAACAAATAGGCCGAAAGAGCCAGATTCTAAACCGGAACACGCAGCTAAAGAAGTGCCAAAAGAACCTCCAGTCACTCCCCGGAAACGAGGCCGGCCCCCGAAGGTTCGAGGGCCTGAAGAGCAAACACCGAAAACAACAAAAACACCCAGGACACCAAGGAGAAATGAACGGGTTACGACACCTGATGGGGATCTGCCACCACAGGAGAAATATTTTTTCCAGACTCGGACAGGACCAGTACAGACATCTAATAACACTATGGCTAAATCGTCCCTGTTTACTCATGAAGAGTTTTTTGAACATCTCGGAAAGTACAAGGATCCGCTGCAAGAGGAAAAGGATTACTTGTTAGAGCTTCATGGGCGCTCCTTCCCACAGTGGCATTTCGAAATGACTGAAGGATTCAATGTGTGCATATATGGATATGGATCTAAAAGGAAACTTGTCCAAAGGTACGCGGATTGGTTGTATGAACATTGCAATCAACCCCCAGCAATAGTGGTTGTTAATGGATATACACCGGATATTACCATCCGATCTATTCTAGCAACGGTTGCAATGGCTATTTTAGGCCCTGATGATACCTCAAAGCTCGGTGTTCAGCCAAATGACGTGTTGGAATCTATCCGTGCGGCTCTGCTCAAAAACCCGCCTCCACAACCGATAACGGTTCTCATTAACTCCATTGATGCACCGCCATTGCGTCGTGCGCAGCAGCAGTCGCATCTGGCTCGACTTGCCGGAATACCCCATATCAATATTCTGGCAACCACTGATACTCCTAACTTTCTGGTGTTGTGGGATATTACCCTTCGGGATAAGTTCAACTTTGTATTTCACGACTGCACAACGTTTGCTTCATACAATGTTGAATTAAATGTTGTAGATGAGGTGCATAGCCTGCTTGGCCGTAAAGTCCGGCGTGTTGGCGGTAAACAAGGTATCGGCTTTGTTCTGAAAAGTTTACCGGAAAATACACGCAAGCTGTATCGACTATTGATTACAGAGATCCTTATGATGCTAGGAGACAATCAAGACGGCGAGGAAGAGGATGAGGCCCAGATTGAGGCCGATGATCCAGAGAGTGACAACCGAAGTGGAAAGGTGGCTGCAATAGAATGGCGAGCTCTTTTTCATAAAGCTTCGGAGGAGTTTATTTCCTCATCTGAGATGATGTTTAGAACGCAGCTGAAAGAGTTCTATGACCATCAAATGATCACATCAAAGCTAGATCCCAGCGGTGCAGAACTGCTCGGTGTTCCTCTGTCACGAGAGGAAATAGAAAGCATTTTGGAAGACCTTGTTATCGATGGGTGAGAATGAATAATAATAAACACCTTCTCGCTACTTATGATACCCTGTGGTCTCAATTGTGACGAAATATAAACGATGTATATAGTAGCCATGAAGTGCATCGTGTACCCCACGGATGGTAAATAATGCACATTTCTTAGCTTCCCCAACCGCAGACCTGAAGACAAAGGAAATCTATATGAGCATAGGTCTAAAGTTCACCAAAAGCAGCCATAGCAAGGGTTGTTCCAAAGCTGGCTTTGAAAGGGACGTTTTCATGCGTCAGCTTTCGGAAGTCAACGGATTTGATGTGCCTCTGCAACCAGCTGGTCGGCAGGATGTCGTATCCTTTGGATGCAGCCCACTACCCAATCATTAGCAACAGCTGAGACGGACGTTATTGAAATGGCTGCGAATAAAACACACCTCAATGATTATAATAGCAAGGCCAATAGAAAACGCCAGGGTTCTCGAGAAAATACGTAGTCCAAGCCCAGTGAGGACCCCAAGCGCACTGCCGAGGCTGATTTGACGGGCGGTCTCGGCAGTTATTAAACCACCGAACAAGGCTTTCTGCTGAGATGATGGGCCTTCATGCTTGAGGGTGAACTCAGATACAGACGGGTGCAAAGGTCCAGATGCATAATCGCAGCGTATGGGGGAACTGATTCTAGTTTGTAGGACCGAATAAGAAGCGCATAGCGGTACAGCAAACAGGAGTGGCCGACAAGCAGATCGGAGGAATTGGGAGGCCATTGTGGAGTTGCGGCGGTGTTCTATAGTGAGAAACGGTAGTTTAGGGGTTGTAGAAGCGAACCTTGGAGGAATATGTGGCTGCTTCCCGGTTCAATGGCGTGAAAACTGCTGCCTTTCTATGCCAGTTTGATGGCTTTTGTTGTTATCGTTGTTGTTGTTCCTTCCTTCTTCCGACCTTGTCGCTCCTTCCTTCTTTTGCTATGACGTCGGAGGGCGCGGCAAGCACGGACCATAGTTTATCCGCAGGTTCGGGTCCATTGCCCAATCAGGACATCCAGCGACTCGTATTGTAACGACAGCGACAAAGTTATCCAGCTGCATCCATTCTCCTTCAGCCATGGTGATACTATATTTATTACTATTCTTAGATAAGACTGATAACTTGAAAGCTACATTTGATCTAGGCCGGCACCTATTCTTATATTCGCATACTAATAATACGGAAAACCGACTCAACCATCGATGAACCGGCAAAGACACTACCTACTCTTGGCTGTCTATGGGCAGCACAGCAGGGATTTAGGACAACACCATGCACAACGCCATGTGGACGTCCATGAAAAGGATCTTACCCCTTGTTGTGTATCAACGAAGCCATATGGGATCTCGGCCCACGCTAGATGATGTGTTTCGGTCAAAAAAGATGCTTCCCTAGCGCGGCCGCGGAGAAAAAGGGCATGTGCGGAGAGATGGATACGAGGGAACCTATTTCAATTGCATCTAGACAACATATGTCATCACCTGTGGTACAAATGAAGAACACAAAATTATGAAAAAGAAAACAAAAAATAGCAAAACAATTAATAGCCCCCAAGGTCTTGCGGCTTACTCGCTATCGGCGGGTATACGGATATCCGCGGCGACTGTTCAACTATCCAGGCATGGCATTCAGATGCGAGCAAGCTAAGGCCATTGCTCATATGACTTCTCCGTGAGAAATTCTCCTACACGGAGTGCTCGCCATCAATTAATATATGCTGCATTTATCAGCGACGCCCTGCCAGCGACGAGAACATCCCCCTTGGATAAAAGCAAAGGGGCTTTCACCTGCAAACTGGTCGATTTTGACTCATCCCTGGCCGTAAACTTTACCTGTTCCGCTCTTGAAGCTAAAACTCAAAATCTTTTTTATCTCTCTCAACCGAATTTTTGACTAACTGCGGGGGCAATATTCCATCTCTCCTTTCTCTTGACAGAATTCATATCTTCACCTCTCTCTCGCCCAAGCAATTGCTATTTAAATCTGCGTCGCCTTCACTTCACCTCGATATCCTCGTCGTTAGACTCATTCTTATCTACATTGAATTAACCCCCCGCTACTGAGACAATGGCACAAGAGCACCCCGCCACCGGCACTACCGGCGAGAATGGAGTCACCAAGGACTTCACCGTCAAGGCTGGTCTTGCACAGATGCTGAAGGGCGGTGTCATTATGGATGTTATAAATGCCGAGCAGGTGTGTATATCTTGAATGTCCTATCATTTCACTGCGATATATATTTAGAATACAAGCCGAAGACGGATATCAATGCTGACTCGGCATTTTGATCTGCAGGCAAGAATTGCTGAAGAAGCCGGTGCTTCTGCCGTTATGGCCCTTGAGCGTGTCCCAGCCGACATTCGAGCCGAGGGTGGTGTTTCCCGCATGTCTGACCCCGGAATGATCAAGGAGATCATGGCTGCCGTCACAATTCCAGTTATGGCCAAAGCCCGGATAGGACATTTTGTTGAGTGTCAGGTTAGTCAATTCTCCTCCGTATGAAGTATGGGGAAGGATTTGGGTGAACTGAATTCTGTGCTAACTCATAGCCAAGATCCTGGAAGCCGTTGGTGTTGACTACATTGATGAGTCCGAGGTCCTCACTCCAGCCGATCATGTCTACCACGTCACCAAGCACTCTTTCAATGTTCCATTCGTATGCGGATGCCGAAACCTGGGCGAAGCCCTCCGCCGTATTTCCGAAGGCGCTGCCATGATCCGTACCAAGGGTGAGGCCGGAACCGGTGATGTTGTCGAGGCTGTAAAGCACATGCGTCAAGTCAACACTGAAATTGCCCGCGCCAGATCCATTCTGCAGTCCGCCCAGGACCCTGAAATTGAGCTGCGCGCATTCGCTCGCGAGTTGGGCGCTCCATACGAATTGCTTCGCGAAACCGCCGAGAAAGGCAGACTTCCCGTTGTCAATTTCGCTGCTGGCGGAGTTGCCACGCCCGCTGATGCTGCTCTTATGATGCAGCTTGGCTGTGATGGTGTATTCGTGGGATCTGGAATCTTCAAGTCTGGCGACCCACGCAAGAGAGCCAAGGCTATTGTACAGGCAGTCACTCACTTCAAGGATGCCAAGAAGCTGGCTGAATTGAGCGAGGGTCTCGGTGAGGCAATGGTCGGTATTAGCGTACGAGACATGAGCGAGAAGGAGAAGCTATCTGGACGAGGCTACTAGAAGGCTTGTTGACATTTCTTTATATTTAACGGATTCAACACACCCAGCTGGAACCCCCTAAATCAACCTTTCTGAGCCATTGTCCCACTATTATGTTTTAACATTCTGGGGTATTGCGGATACCTTTTGTGTTCTCCTGATACGAGTATTTTTATGAATGGCGTGACTGGAAAATCTTGTAACGATGGAATAGCGTTTTCAAAAGTTGTCCCAGGCCCGAAGAAAACTGAGGTTCATTTATACCATACTAGATTATAGATAGACCCAAGGAAATAGGGAAGCCTTCTCTCCATACATAGCTATTGTCACTGGATCATATTGTTGAATACTATATTTAATCTCATCATGCATGATACATCATATACCCCAAAAAAAAAAACCTCAACGCATCACGCCTAGCTAGCCAAACAATGTTCGTGGAAATCAAATGTCTTGAATATACACGCTGCAGGTGCAATTCAAGTAATAAAGGCCAATCAACATCCCATCTCATAGGCTCGTCTCTGAAACATGGCTCATATCAAATCAAAATCGACCTCCCAGAAGAGAAGAGTGTACCAGATATAAATTGCGAACAAGGTTAGCCAACCTTCGACTTCGTACCACCGACCTTATATTGGCTCTGAGGTCGCCGGGACGGAGCTTTTTTATCACTGAGATTTTTCACAGATCCCGCGTCGAGAATTCCACCATGTTTGGATTGTTTATCAGCCGGACGTGTGTCAGCGAAATAGGCAGCGCCATCCATGAACCAACAGCAACCACAGCCCCTATCAGTGAGGCAGCACTGGGGGTTAGCACCAACTGTGCAGAACCAGCCCTGGCAAGGACCGTTGCAGAAATTGTGGTAGCCTGTCGTGGAATTTATCAGCATCTTCCTTAGATGTTAATAATTGGGTATGCTCTTACCATCACTGCTGCCGCCGTCACGTTTAGCCGCAGACACCGCGGGGATGAAGCCAACCTCCTGGCCATTTCGGACGTGGATAGAAGCTGGTTATACAATATTAGCAACAGTGGTTACGAATATCGGGTTATCACTGTCAAAGTTAGGCGGCATAAGTCACGTACTACTAAGGCGGGCCACCTGAGCTGGATCTGGTGCAGCAACAGCAGCCACATGGGCCACAAACAGGGAGATAATAGCAACAGAGAATTGCATCTTGAATGTTGAGGATTTTTGAAGACGAGTTTGGTGATTTGGTTCAGGTGTGGAAGCTAAGATGAGGTTGGATATGCTGATGATGGGAAGATTCTCTCAAATGGACGGGGTATCAGGCCCCTTTTATAGAAAAATTTGGTATTCAACAAGAATGATATCGAGGATCTAGACAAACCCCAGATTCGAGGCTGAGCGCCGTAATCCGGGGCAGAATGGGGTATATTCGAAATATCTCATGTATATCCCCACCATAGCACATTCATAGAAATGCTTCACACGACCAGATACTCAACTGATGCAAGGGGTATCAAGTAAATCGCGCAGTTACCGAAACACGGCAAGTGTTGTATGCATCCCCACAGTAAATGGAAGTTTCGAGTATCCAAGAGTAGAAGACAGTTTCTAGATTGCTGGGTATGCTATAGTGTCAAGTTCATGAGAAAGCAACAACTGGTGGCCTTAGGATTATGCATAGCTATGTCCTTAGCTACCACTTCCCTACAGTAGGTGGCCTACTCACCTTCAGCAAAAGTCACCTCTTGCAAGCTGCTCATATTGGGTCTGAGAATATGATACTCCGGCCTTTGGTGGCCAGTATGAGATATTTATGCCGTCATGCCAAGGGCAGAGTGTTTGTTGGAGGATCGAGATGATAAAGAAAA